AGGGCAGAATGCAGAAAAAAGTCTGCTTCCAAGTGCTCCAAATTCAGGGCAAACTGCATCATGTCTATATCTTCTTTGTATATTGGAATTGCATGCTCTGGACATTCTGACAGAGGACAAACTGGACTGGAAATAGTAATGTACAAGTTGCTATATATCAAGAAAATGAACATGAAAATGGAGATGGAAGCAGCAACCCTTTTCATGTTTCAGAATGGGATGACACAAATTTTAAAGGGGACTTTGATTGATATTTACATATATAAGCAAGACATTAGAAGTATTTATATATGTCTCACGACCACCCGAGGTGAGGGTGTTTCGACACGAAAATAAAAGAATCCTAGGAAGAAAAAGGACAAGATCACAATAATTTGAGTTGACTTGAATTGTTCTCTTAATAAACAAGTCTTGAGGGTGTACCTTACAAGATAAGTGCATGACTTATTGGTTAAGAACACACAAATGATCATATCATTGATTTTAACCATCAATGTCGTGAACTTTCTAAAGATTTCTTGAATTGGATTTATGTATTTCCAAGTTTAAGTTTAGTTTTGGTATTATCTTAAATAGAAAACCCCTTCAAAGAACTAGCAATAGTCTTCCACATTTTGTGTTTTTGCAAGTTATACCTAACTAGACTTGAAATTCCTATTTTAGGTCATGAATTGTACCATGTTTGATGAAGATGCTGATATGCATAATAATGAAAACTCTATATTTAAAAGTCATAACTTAGTTATATGTGCAGGTGAACTACTCTTGTTATAGTCTCTATATTTTTCTAGAAGAGGTCTTTTACTTCGAATGTGTTAGAAACTACTCTAATGGTGGGGTCAAGGTCGGGTGGCGAATTAAGAAAAAAATATTAAAAGGACAGAAGAATAAAATAGAGATAACGTAATTATATATCCTTTCAATACGACCAATGTATACATTAGTAGTGATGGAGAGGATGTAATTCTATTTATTTTTTTAATTTCAAAAGCAAAATTCTATCTATACAAATACTCGAAATATTTCATAAATGTGAAGTAGAGTTGTCCACCACATTCAGTTGCATAGACCAACCTAAAGCCCCCTTAATGTGTAGTAAGGGGATAGAGGTGTCAAGACTGGCGGGTAGGCTCTAAACCGCTAGGCCTGCTTGGGAAATAAGCAGGGCAGGTAGTGGGCCGGCCCTGGGCTATCATGCCTTAATCGTTGGGCCATTTCGGGCTCTGAATTTGGGCTCGGGGTTAGCTGCGTGCCTATTTAATATTAATTCTTTTTTTATAATTTAATAAAAAATAATAATTGTGGTTCACTTATTTTGCACCGGACTAATAGGCGGTCCAAGTTTAGTAAAAGTTTAATGTACCAGTTAAGGCTATTGGCGATCTGTCCGTTTTGACACCTCTAAAGGGGACATTTGGACAAGACAAGAAGCTAAAGATTAAAAGAAATCAGTTCTATATCTCGGTCTCTCCTTTATGCTTCTCATCACAATACAACTCGGTCACATACAATTCATAAGAAATGTGTTCGAATACATCTATCAAAGAAACAAGAAAGAACTACAACATTGCAAGAATCACTCCTGTTCTATGACATTTGCCAAATCAAGGGACATCTGTTTGTACATCTTATACATTCTTAGGGAGGGAGATTTTTCTTGATTATAGGTACTTGCAGGGATCTGTTAATCCACAAATTAATCTCTGGGTACTTTGCTGAATCCATTACCTTATAATTACCCACTTGTTGAGTGAATTGAAGCCAATAACCAATCCAACCAATCACAATATCAAGATATCCCATCGTTTCCCCTCCAAAGAACTTTTTCCCTCTTATTTCCCCTTCGAGAATTTCCAAGGCCTCAGCCATTACTTTAACGGCTTTTGCTTGCTCCTCCGCCATAACTGAATGCTATTCTTGATGGCTCTACTAGCTGCATCCAAAGAAACATTATTACCAACTTGCAAGAATGTCGACTTGAGTAATACGAAGATTTGTATGAAGTTGAGTATTCAATGCTACAAAAAGTCAAGGGTTCCCCCTGCGAAGTGATATAGGTCATAAATCAATTGTACACATAAACTTATTTGATTTAGCTAAAAATCAGATTTTAATAAAAATTGTGGATTCCATGAAAAATATGTGGCTGAAAATGAGTTCGAGGAAATGAGGAGTCAAACAAGGGCATGTCTTGTCCAAGTCAATGTTTCTGCAATGCCCCTTGTTGGTCCCCAAGGATGGAATACTAGACTAGCTGAAGGATAGTACTTAAAAAGTGTTAAAAACCTAATATATCCCAACTTTTCATAGAGTTAAGTGCCTCTACCCAGTAATCAAATCAATAAACTGCTAGATATAAGCCACAACAGAAGTTTCAAAGCAAGCAATAATAAACGCACAAACTCTAAAATGAATCTTGTCTTTAAAGGAAGAAATTTTCTGAATGTACAGAAAATCATTTGCCAGAATTTATACGGAATACTCACATGGGGTGGGCCCTATGTGAGTTAAGTATTGTTTTAAAAAAAATGGGACCCACCCCTATGTGTGTATCTGTATAAATTCTGGTGTTTTTTTGTCTATACATATAGTGCATCTCAGACACACTGCAATTGCACATTAAGCAAGAATTCAAAACATGTACGTGAGCAACCCCATCTATCCACCCCTAACACATAATCATTGAAGACAATTAGCAATCTTGAGCAGTACTGGAGAAGGGAAAAAAGTAATAATAAACAAGATATAGAAGCCAAATCTACTCATTAAAAGGGTAAAATTCCATATTGGCTAAATATAAAAATTATAGCCAACATACAAGGGTTTGGGTTATTCATGCTAATGAAGTTGACATTTTAAGATGAAACTTTTAGCTTAGCTTACTTGATCTTCTGAAAATTTTGCCCAAAACCGTGTGTATGCTCTCTCGTGAGGATCTTTCGACATAATCGGGTTCTGTATCCATGTCTCATCAATATACTCAAGAATGATAAGGGAGTCAGATATGGCTTTTTCACGATGAATGAACACTGGAATCATCTTGTGAACTGGATTACTCTCTAAGAGCAATGAGCTCTTCTTAAATGTATCTTCTTTTATGAATTCAAACTCAATGCCTTTCATTTTCAATGCCCAAATAATTCTCCATTCAAATGGGCTTACTCCAGAGCCAAGAATCTTCACTTTTTCCCTGTCCATGATTTCAAATTGTGCTTAAAAACAGTCAATGAATGATTCTCTGGTTTTTGTGAACATTTATTTAGCAGCATTTTAGCAAGTTGGTTGTGCACAATTTAATATGAATTGCAGATGCTCAATTTTAAACTTTTATGTTGAAAGGATCTTCAGGGTCATTATTAGAACGTATTCTCTCTTATTATATGAGTAAACAAACAAACAGTGGATCGTTGGTTGTAATAACAATTTATTTTTTTTTTAAAAAAAACCTGTTTTGACTGGTATTTCAAGAACTATGCATGTGAGTACAGAGTAATTAGTAAAGAAGTAAATATATATCATTATTTAAAAATTATGGGTAGTGGAAAAGTTGAGCTAGGCACACCTGTGTCACTATTGTTAGGTGGCAGTGGATCCTAATAACTACATGAATGAACCTAAAGTCATGATGCATTTTGAGGATACTGTAGGTGGCAAAAAAGTGTTGATTGAAAAGATAAATTATTTTTTAAACTGTCTAATGACAATATGTCACGTAACATGTTGTCAACAACATTGTACATTAAGCATGATTGGCATTTTGATTCATTGAATAATGAATCTGTGATATTTACTGTCATCACATCAAATTGTTGTTGAACACCATTGATGCTACTGTAATACTATTTTATATTTTTCTTTGCTTTGTCAAGGCACTATGGTCTTGGACCATGAGGGGGCTGGACCAACTTGAAACCTACAACCAGAGCAATATAACTATATTCGGTCAAGAGAAAAAGTAAAGGATGGGTTCCCAATCGAACTCTGGTCCTCAAGTTAGTATACCGAGTTTTAAAAATAATTTTAGACACCTTGTACTTAGAGTGGATGGCATGGGGAGGTTTTATACGGAGGAGAGATGGGGAACCAGTCTTCGAGATGACGAGTGATTTTAACTGATAATGACATCAATTATAGACCTTGAAGGGACCATTAGTATTAACATGTGATTGTCACTTTAAGACATTCCTTATATGCGTGATAAGCTGCTAAAATAATTGACATGCTATTGCAAGATCCGTCGTCAACTATACTTAGTCGGCCATCTTGATCGTGAGCTTAACCTCTTGGGGCCGATGTAAAAATTGGGTGTGAACCAATATAAACTGACATTCAAAAATGCACCATATCTACATCTTACAATTTCCCATAAGACGACGTTTTAAATAGTGGTTGATGATGCATCTACAAATGATTACATATTCAAATAATTTTCAAATGATTACATATCTACAAATGATTACAAATGGTTGATAATTCATTATTCCATTTAGTAATATATTCTTTACTTGCAACGTGGGGAACGTAAACTTGTTCCATTAACTCGAAAGATTCAAGATTACATTTGGATGACAACCCCATAAGAGATTTGACACGAGTATGAACCTTGTAACCAAATGGGCCACTTTTTGGGTGAGAATTGGCTCAAATGGTCCATAACCCTCAAAAGTGTATATGGTTAACCCAACTCAAAACTTTAGGCCCTCCCTAAAATCTAATCTTAGATCTTCCATGCTTATAACTCAGGTGGTTACTATGGCCAACTCAGAAGGCAGCTTGACACCATTTTTACCTTGTTCGAGCTTTTGTACACCAGAAATCTTGATCAATTCGATTAGTTCCTCATGATTGCCTAGCTCACCATATTGTCCGTGGATCTAGTCATTGGCGTATCCACGTGTTCATGTGGGAGCCACTGACACCACATAACTTTCTAATTTTGTTGTATTCCCAATAAGACGGCTCAGCAACAGACCACTTCTTCCAAAGCGCGCCCCATTCGTTCCGTAAGTATTTTTAACCTTATTGTCAATGGATCTAGTCGGTGGCGGATATGTTGGTGATTTGTACAGTGAAATGGTTGTTTGTAATCGACAAAGTTAATGGTCAAGTTAATGGTTTTTTTTTTTTTTGATTCCTTCACTGAATCATGCCCCCTCGTACTATGGCAACGACTTGGTACCAACAATAGTAATCATTATAAAAGGGCATGGCAACGACTTGGTACCAACAAGATAGTTGCAAGGAAGATGTTAAGAAACTTTCCACAGGATATCGAGTGATTCAGGGTTCTTTTAGGTGGACAACGATTTTTTTTTTTATATTTAACTTTAGAATATTGCAACGGTATTTTCCCATTGGTCTAGAATTTGGGTAATAACCAACTGTAAACATGACTACAACTACACAAAACAAAAATAACTTAGGCTTAGCGAAGAAGATTGAACGAATCTGATTCTTAAAAGAAAAGGAATGAGGAATTTCATTAATCACGTGTACAAAATTTTAGAGTAGACAAATGTTCAATCTTGAAATCTTACTATAGTTAATTGTATAAATATACAATGTGTGTGTATGTGTGTGTGTATTCACTCGATAAAAGGGTATGTGAAAAATAAATATAAAATATATTCGTCGCACATGTAAAGTCTTAAATTATAAATATCCCGATTATCTTTAGGTTTTTTCTAGATAGTATTGGGACCAATTATAATTCATTTATATAAAAAAAGATGAATGGAGTGATGACTTTCCAAAACTAAAGGACCATTTGCTTGTAATGATTTTAACAAGATAATCCTAAGTAAAAAATAAAATATAAAGATCACAAATATCAGCAAACTCAAACGATTTTCTTCTCTCTATAAGAAAATAATTTTTGGAATAAATTTTGGAGAGTTTTTACAAGAGTTTTTGATACAAGACTCAATGTCAACGATATATGATTCATAATGGACGTTTAAGGGTTCCCATTTATAGAAGAGGAGTGCTTATGAGTGAAAAACACGCCCCAAAATTTAGCAAATTTCAAGAAGAGTCACAACCCTATATGTTGCGTCGTCGGCGCTGGACTATCCTTCAAGCGATAGTCATAGGTTATGAAAAATTGAATTTTTTCTTCCAACTCTGAACCACAATTTCTCATTAATTTGAAATTGATTTTGAGATTCCAAATATACTAAACGAGCTATTGATGAGTAGAACAAGTTAGTCTATTTAATTTTATAATTTGACCATCGGATCATGTGTGAATATTTGATCGAAATTGACATAAAGTCACTTTTCAAATTCATACTTAACCAAAATTTTCAATCTACAAACTAAATTTCAACTAGATACACATCTGCCTTCAGCAACTTAAATGGACCCTTTGTGTTTGCTTTGGGATTCAAATAGATAAGATAGTAATGCCCAAAAAATAAGCAAAGTAAGGTTCGATTTTTTTTAAAAAATTGTAACTTAATTTTGACCCACAATGAAAAAAAGTTAGATTCCTTCACTGAATCGTATGGCAAAGACTTGGTACCAACAATAGTAATCATTATAAATGGGGCATGTCAACAAGATAGTTGCGAGGAAAATGTTAGAAGAAACTTTCCACGAGATATCGAGTGATTCAGAGTTCTTTTTTAAAGGACAGTGTTTTTTTTAATATCTAACTTTAGAATATTGAGACTAGGGGTGGACATGGATTGGGTTGGGTCGAGTCGGATCGATTTTTGTCTCAACCTAAATCCAACCCAACATGATCGGTTTGATCAAAATTTAACCCAACCCAACCCAACCCAATCAAGTATCGGTCGGGTTAAATTGGGTTGGTCGGTTTGAAATGACTTATCAACAAAAATTAAAGTCGTTCAATTTTCTATTATACTAAATTCGAATAGACTAGATTAAATAGTAAGTAAATAAATAAATAAAATTATTTATTATCTTATTCAATCCCTATTAGCCGAGCCCACAAAGAACAAAGTGCATTTAAC